AGCCGGAAAGCAAAGGGGGAAAGCTGTACAAGCTTCAGAGGTGAATGTTACTAAGGTTGTTAGCGACATTTTAGATTCAGATTCTTCCGGTTATTCTTGTCCCGCACTGCCGTCAGTTTGTTATGCCGACTCTACAGAGTGGATGCATGATTCGGGAGCTACATTTCACATTTGCCCTAAGAGGGATTGGTTTACCAACTTTGAGGAGTTGAAGAGAGGAGACGTGGTGCTCATGGGGAACGATCATGTTTGTCATATTAGTGGGATTGGCTCAGTCAGAATCAGAATGCATGACGGGGTGACTAGGGAATTGAAAGAAGTGAGGTGGCTCAGTCAGAATCAGAATGCATGACGGGGTGACTAGGGAATTGAAAGAAGTGAGGTTCGTGCCGCAATTGACGAAAAACCTCATTTCTCTTGGGACTTTGGAGGCATCAGGCTATAGAGTGATCTTAGAAGATCTAGTTTGAAGGTCATGAAGGGATCCATGGTGATGACGCGAGGTGTTAGGAAAAACAACCTATACTACTTGAAGGACAAGATAGTTACAGGGGGTCTGGCTGCTTCTATCACCACAGAGGAGGATACCACCACTCTATGGCACATGAGACTTGAACACACAGGTGATAAGTCCCTACAGACATTGGTAAAACAGGGGCTATTAAAAGGTGCAAAGACCTACAAGATGGAGCTGTGTGAGCATTGCATACTTGGGAAGAAGACTAAAGTGAAGTTCGGCACCGCTATTCACAAAACCCAAGGTATATTAGATTATATTCACACGGATGTTTGGGGTCCTTCCAAGCACACATCGCTTGGTGGGGCAAATTATTTTGTCACTTTCATTTATGATTATTCCAGGAGGAATTGAGTATATACCATGAAGCATAAACATGAGGTCCTGGATATATTTGTGGAGTGGAAGAAGAAAGTGGAGCTGCAGACAGGTAAAAAGGTGAAGACTCTTCGTTCAGACAATGGTGGAGAGTATAAGAGTGATCCATTTCTGCAGTTTTGCCGGGATCATAGCATTAGAAGACACTTCACAGTTAGAGAGACATCGCAACAGAACGGGGTGGCCGATAGATTGAACCGTACCTTGCTGGAGAAGGTGCGATGTATGATGACGCAGAGTGGATTATCTAGATCCTTTTGGGCCGAGGCGTTGGTTTATGCAAGCCATCTCGTTAACAGGTTGTCGTACACTACGATAAAGGGGAAGACTCCTTTAGAACGTTGGTCTGGTTCTGTGGCTAGTGACTATGAGACTCTCCGGATATTTGGGTGTCCAGCTTATTTTCATGTCAGTAATGGAAAGTTAAATCCGAGAGCGAGAAAAGCTATTTTTGTGGGATTTAGAGAAGGTGTCAAAGGCTTCAAATTATGGGATCCACAAGATAAGAAGATGGTCATTAGCAGAGATGTCACATTTGATGAGGCGTACATGATGAAGCCTCGGGTTTCTCAGCAGGTGGAGGAAGATCAGACAGGAGGGATATCGTAGCAGGTGGAGGTTGATGTGACTCCATCCACTCCAGACAGCACTGTGTCCATTGAGGCTCCTACAGGTGTGACACTGGGAGGAGATGAGATGACAGTCGGGCATGTGGAGGATACAATGGATGGTGAGGCTCAGGAGCAGGGTCATGCTCAGGGGTCCATTGCAGCAGATAGACCGAGGAGAGAGATTCGTCGGCCAGCTAGATATGATGAGGTCATGGTGGCATATGCTTTATCCGTGGAGGTCGTTGATGATTTTATTCCTACCACATTCAGGGAGGCAGAGTCCAGCCCTGATTCCATTAGGTGGAGGAATGCTATGGAGGAGGAGATGCAATCTCTTCAGAAGAACGACACTTGGGAACTTACAAAGCTACCTAAGGGTAAGAAAGCTATTGGTTACAAGTGGGTATATGCTAAGAAGGAGGGATCTTCTATTGGGGACATTCGGTTCAAGGCCAGATTGGTTGCCAAGGGATATGCACAACTTGAGGGCGTTGATTACAACGAGGTATTTTCACCCGTTGTGAAGCATTCGTCGATTCGGATACTATTGGCATTGGTGGCACAGCTAGACTTAGATTTGGTCCAAATGGACGTGAAGACGGCCTTTCTACATGGAGACTTAGACGAGGAGATCTACATGACACAACCTATGGGGTTAAAAGCTGCAGGAAGGGAAAATTTGGTGTGCAAATTGAAGAAATCTCTTTATGGGCTGAAGCAATCACCGCGACAGTGGTACAAGAGATTTGATAGCTTTATGATTGGCCAAGGGTACACGAGGAGCCCGTATGACCCGTGTGTTTATATACACAAGCTACAGGATGGTGAGCACATTTATTTGTTATTGTATGTTGATGATATGTTCATAGCTTCCAGGAACACTTCAGCTATTGGGAAATTGAAAAAGGAGCTGTCATCTGAATTTGAGATGAAGGACCTGGGAAAGGCTAAGAAGATAATGGGTATGGAGATTGAGCGAGACAGGGTGAAGGGGAGATTGAAGCTTACACAGAGGAGTTACTTGCAGAAGATGCTGAAGAAATTCAGTTTTGAGGGCAATACCAAGGTGGTGAGTACTCCATTAGGTCCCCACTTTAAGCTTTCAGCTTTGATGTCACCAGTTTTAGTGGAGGATAGGGACTACATGTCTAAAGTTCCATACGCCAGTGCAGTGTGTAGCTTGATGTATGCTATGGTGTGTACGAGGCCAGATTTGTCACAGGCTGTGAGCATGGTATCTAGGTACATGCACAACCCCGGCAAGGGGCATTGGGAGGCCATGAAGTGGATTCTACGGTATATTAAGGGTACCGTGGATGTTGGGTTGATATTTATGAAGAATGATGAGACAGGACAGGATTGTATTGGCTACGTGGATTCAGACTATGTCGGAGATCTTGACAAGCGTCGGTCCACTACAGGTTATGTTTTTACATTGGCTAGTACACTGGTGTGTTGGAGATGCACCCTTCAGTCTACAGTGGCGCTTTCTACTACGGAGGCGGAATATATGGCGGTGACTAAAGTAGTGAAGGAGGCTTTGTGGCTACATGACTTGTTGGATGATTTGGGGATTGCATAGGAGACCATTCAGGTATATTGTGATAGTATGTCAGCTATCTATTTGGCGAAGAACCAAGTCTATCATGCACACACGAAGCACATTGATGTCAGATTTTACTTTGTACGTGACGTATTGGATGACGGTGATGTCACGTTGGAGAATGTCCACACTAAGGACAACACTGCTGATATGTTGACCAAAGTTGTACCAGGTATGAAGTTTGGTCATTGTTTGAACTTGTTGAATATTCTTCATTGTTGAGGCCGTTGGTGGTCATTTGGATGAACTATGTTTGGCTTGATTCCTTGGGCAAGAGGATACGTAGGCAGTCTTGCAGATGCAGCCGGTTGAAGTTGATTGAGGGTGTTTTGGTGTCGGCTCAGTTTTGGCAAAACGTTCGCCGAGGTGGAGATTTGTAGAGTTGGTGAAAAGTCGAAGGTGGGGCTCTGGGTGACTGGCGGTCGACCGACAGTGGTGCTGCGGTCGACCGCAATGTGTACGCAAACGTAGTATGGCTCTGGATATTGGGTGGTTGACAGGACAAGGCGCTGCGGTCGACCGCGATTTTTCCAGAGAGTTGGGTGAGCCTCTGGACTTTTCACGGTCTACCGCACATGGCGCTGCGGTCGACCGCGAATCGGGTTTTGGCCTGGGTCTGTTTTCCAGACCTATTTCATTTGGGTTTCATACAAATACCCAAGTGTTGTTCTAGGGTTAATAGCAAGGTGATTTTGAGCTGCCAAGAGGGGATTTCTAGGGCTTCTTTTGTTGGAGTCTATTGGAGAGATCAAGTGATCTTGTTTGAGGGTTTTGGGTAAGATTTGTAACCCTAATTTGTATTCCCCTTAATTTCTATTAGTGAAACCCCCCCCTCCTTACCCCGTGGACGTAGGCACATTGCCGAACCACATATATCTTGTGTTTTTGCTGTGATTGAGTTGCTTCTGTTGCATTGTGGTCTACTATTGTTCTTGTGTGTGCTATTGTATTGTCTAATTTGGGCTTCCGCGGCGCACAACAATTATTTCAAATTAGGGGAGAGAAAAAAAAGAATGTTATCCATGATATTATTGCTTGGTTAAATTTCACAAAGAGGTTAGGGATTTTGCACAAAATTACCATATAGCGTTTTTATTAGAGAAAATATACGAACTCTGAAAGCAGTAGGCTCACCTTAGCTATTCGATAATAACGTAAAGTTCGAGGTAATTTAATGAATTGTGTCTAAAAGTTTCATGATAGCGTTTCAAACGTAAATAAGAAAGTGTTGATTCAAATTGTTAAAATTAAAACTCGACGGTGCCATAGCACTACAAATTTATGACTTCTTTGGGTGAGATTTGCATTTTGACATCACTCTTGTGTTCTCAATCTGTAAGCAAGTCTTCTGAGATCTTTTATTCTTCTAGTTTTCGCTCGTAGTCTCGTTAAACTACGCGTATCACATTTGAATATGGGTGATAAGATTGTAGATAAAGTACTTCAATCATTTTTGTAATCCTATGTTATGTTATCCAACTGATGATGCCCCTCAAAATGCCTAAACAATTGATCATCATAACTTCTCTCTTAATCATATCTAAATTGAGGCATGCCTAAACAACTGATGATGTAGTTTGCATATTAAACTACGCGTATCACATTTGAATATGGGTGATAAGATTGTAGATAAAGTACTTCAATCATTTTTGTAATCCTATGTTATGTTATCCAACTGATGATGCCCCTCAAAATGCCTAAACAATTGATCATCATAACTTCTCTCTTAATCATATCTAAATTGAGACATGTCACATGCCATCCCAAGTCTGAACCCTGATGCAGTTGGCCTACTCTTTGGGTCAGGTCCAACCGAAATTATTCCAACATAAAATCAACATTCTGGTTAACCTGTCCCTTTCCTTCCCTCATAAACTTAGCTTCAAGTAATAGCATCCTCGATTAAAGAGAGAAAGCAAAAGCTCAAAGACTTCAGCCGCAGGCTCAATGGAGAAATGGGCAATGGCGTCCGTTGCTGCTGCGGCCCTCGACCTGGCCGCCTCGTCCTGCAGCGTTGCAGCCGAGTTCAAGAAGGCCAAGGTGAGGATTGTCATGGTTTTTAAATCTGTCGGTATTCAGAAGGATTAATTGCAGACACACCTCTTGTATCTTGTATTGTAATGATGCGGTCATTTCTTACCTCGATTTAACTTTTTTTTTTTATTAGCACTTGAAACTTGCATAATGTTATTTCTTTCTAAGATAATTTAGTCTTTTTCCCCGTTAAATGGAAGCAAAATGCGTGATTCTCACGTGACATCTGATGCTGTCTAGAATTTAGATGATGAAAGCGCTAACAAACTAATAAATTTACGGGGTATTACTTAAGGGGTGTTTGCAGCTACCCTAAATTGGACTTGTCATCAAACACTTATCTATATACTTGGAATGATAATTGAAGATGAATGACATGAAATTGGACGGGAAGTTCTGCTCTCTACCTAGAACTCCTGCATTTGTACTGGGGCTCGCGGCGTTGATCTGCATCTCGGTTTCTCAGATGCTCAGAGCCTTTGTCTGGATGCTTGGTGGGTTCTCAATCAACAAATGTCAAACCATTATGATTGTTTTCTCTTGGTAGGTATGTACCGGTAACATTTAGAAATCTGTAGATAATCCTGCTCAAATATGTCCAAATGTATGCGACGTGTATAAAACGGATGAAAGGCAATGTCGTGTTTTGTGTGTAGGATATGTTTTATCTTGGCAATGATATTGCTGGCGACCGGATCGAGCATGAACAATTGGCAGCGGTATGGGCAGGGGTGGATGGATGGAAACTGCTACGTCATTCGCACGGGCGAGTACCTGGGCGCTGCTGCGCTGATCGTTGTGAATCTCGTGATGAATTTAAGCTCGATGTGCAGTTCGACGAGGCAATCAATCCAAACTCAGTGCTGCTCAGGAGAAGACGACGAAAAAGTTGATGAGCAGAAGCAGGGAGAAGTCTGAGACTATGATGGATTGTTTTGTATTTTGAAATTTAATTGTGTACAGCCACAGAACAGAAGCTGTTTGTGTGTCGAGTATTACATAAACGAATCTAAATTAAATATGAGAATTCTCTTTGTCAAGTATCCCACAAGCTTTCAGTTCTGCAAACAGAATAGTAAGAAATAAAAAAGTTAGTAAGAAAATAAACAAAGCAACTCATTTCTTCCTCCTACACAAAGAAAACCCATCATTAATCATCTAAAATCCTTGCTTTAAATACGAAGGGATATTAATAAAATGCAAAGGCATCACAGTAAGAGAAAACCACGGACTAAATAGGTCTTTTCTACAGGTTGATACAATATATCAACAGATCCAACGCCATAAGTTCACTTCCGAGAACATTAAAGTAGCTGAACAAAAAGCACCAACCAAATCCTGGATGCATCAGCTTTCTGTCATAAAATCAGTTCCATTCAAAGGAAATGAGGCTTCAGCAAACCTGCAATTTCCATCATCCCAACTGTCTCTTTCCCATCAAAGATGGACTTCAGCTTATCATCGCAGCGAATTTCCCTCTTGTTCGCTGGGTTCTGCACTCTCAAAGACATTGAATTAGAGCAGGATTAACTTAAAAGGTCAATGATTCAAATAAAAATATTTCTGGCACAAACTAAGGAAACAGTTTAGGCATACGTAGTTTTCAATACTTTGGGTACATGATCATCAGGCGTAACCCCATCATAACTATCCAGTCTTCAATACAAAGTGTATCCTTGGTCTACAAGGGCTGAAGATTTTTCTTTTATTTTGGATGAAAAATCATCCCAATTTCAATCATCAAAACAAATAAAGATAAAGAGAGAAAAGAAGTACAGGCCAAGTTTGGAATAGGTGTTGAATTTTAGATAACCGGATCATATCATGCAAATTATTAAAGCTTGAACTGTTTATACCATAGACCTAATCAGTACTGCAGTTACATGACTGACTAGTATATCATGTTGAGGAAATGTTTCAAAATATACCTCCAGTTCTACTAAAAAGTTAAAAACATACCAATACTCGATATCCACACTATAGCTAACGTTCCCGCATCTAAACAGAACATGTAAAACTGACAACAAATATGCCCTTGAACTAATACAAGATCTAACTAAGGAGTGCCACATCAAATTGTTAAAAAATTATAAGTGATCTGCCCTCAATTTAAAATAAAAAATTTGAACAATAACGCACAAAACTTGGAGTTGCAATCGAAATCCTAAACATATAAACATTAGAGATTGCCAAAAACTAGAGCACAATACTGAAAGCAATATTTCGATTGGATTTTTTTAAGAAACGTCAATTTTACACCATAAATACGCCTCACCGTTTTCTCAGCAGTTACAATTTTTCAAGGTGATACAATGTTTATCGTCATTACTGCAATCATACAATCGTATATGCATACACCAATATAATGCTAGTCCATAGTATAGTTTACACAAACTGAAGTAATAAGGTAGATTATGATAGACTCCAAGCCTTCATATTCACCTTTTATTCCTACAACCATTTTTTACTCTCAGTAATTCTTCAAGATGACATTACATAGAAATTAATATGCAAATCCACATAAAATTGGAGTAGATAGCTGCCCATCTATAACTATTATAATATCACCAAAAATCCATTAATTACTGAACCTCTTATTTCAAGAAAATGTTCAATACAGACATATTATATGCCCATAACAACATATTTGAAGAAAAGCAAACAGCAAAAACTGAAGGATTATCCCCATAAGATCACTTGCTACTACAATATCTCCAACCAACCAAAACTCCAATTGGACTCTTACTTTTGAAATGGAAAGAAGAAAATGAAAAAAAGAGAGATTATCAATCAATTTTCTAAAAAGTGAATGTCAACAGCGAACTTATTAGAAAAGGGGACAACTCGAAATGGGACTTTTTATTTTGATATTAAAAATAAGTAATTCACTTACTTCAAAGAAATGAGAACTTCAGACCTACCATTTCTAAAAATTTAAAGGCCGTCTACATGAATCTTATTCGTCCATTCAGTACTACTATGGATCTTCTCCTCCTCCTCCTTTAAGTTAATTGTTATTATATCTATCTTAATTGCTTTCAATTCAATTCATTAAGTCGTTAATCCATTAGCTATAATATCATCCATTCTCTTAACTGACTCATTTAGTGACCTCTATTGTACATGACGAAACCATTTCAATTTATCCTCTCATTTTATTCTCAATAGGATAAATATCTAACCTCCTACGAATAAATTCATTTCTATTTGTGTCTTTTAGCGTATACGCACAAGACATCATAATTTTCTCATTCACT